GGGGGGGGGAAAGTAACAGGACATTTTCTCGGTGTTTGTCACGCTGCTGTGAAAGAGGAGCCCTTTCTTTCCAGCCAGTTCCGTTCAGGATGCCAACAGGAGGGAAGTCAACGGATTGCACAAGGTGTAGAGCTCTCTCATCTGCTCCACTTTTTCTGCTATAGAAATTTTTTTTTTTTTTCACTCTTTTGTAACTGCCAGTGACTGGAAACTGTTGTGACAGCCCAGAGGCTCCCCTGTCCAGTCCTGGGGGGCTGGAAAACCCCAAGGTTGTTTGTGCTCCCTTTCTAGTCTGACCAGGCGCTTTCCTGCTCCTGCAGGTTCTGGGAATTGCCCTGAAGTCATCCGTTCTTCAGACAGATCCGAACTTGCTTTACTAGAAGAGACAGGAAATTAAGAGCAATTCGGACGTGTCAGGAGATTCTTGCTCCTGCTTTCCACTTGAGGTGACCCGCTGTAGGCAGCCGTTGCTCCCCGAGGAGTCGTCTTTCCTTCATCCAAATACAGCTGCGCTGCTCTTGGAACGCAGCCTGCGATTCCCTCTTTGGGAAGATGGAGCAGCTGTGTTCCAGCACAGCGCCCATCAAACCACATCTCGTCGTCTGGCCGCGAGAGTAAGTCACGGTGCGAAGTGACAAAGAATATTTTTCGGTACAAGGACGGTTGTTCTACCAACTGGCAGCGCTGGTGTCGTTCTAACATCTGTTTTATCCAGCACACGTTCTGCGTATTCACTTATTGTCCTCTTTGTTTCTTTTTTTTTTGAAGGTGACCTCTGACTTTAGAGATCGTGGAGGAAGAGCAGCACACGAGGAAGGTCTGTGTGAGTGAGCAGAGGGAAGTACACGCAGCGTGGCTGAGAGCAGGACCAAGGCAGGGTTGTGGTTGCCCACAAGGACTCAGTAAAGAGATTTCGTTCCAGAAACAGGTCATCTTCCACTTGTTCACTGTCCCTCTGCAGGGGATGTTTTTGTGTGTGTGTGCTGGAAATGTAATTTAAGGGAGGAGAACTTTACCTGAGCAAGACCTGCTCAAATCCCGAGAGGATGAGAACCAGCTTTCAGGAGACCAGACCTCGAAGGGGCTTCTCTTGTTAAGGTGGGCTTACATTTGGGTGCTGGATGAAAACTGAGAGTCGTTATCTGTGTAGCTATTCAGATAAGATGTTTTTGACCAGGAAATGCACTTGTCTGCCTCTGTGCAGGGAGGTGGGATAATATCCTGCGTTTCTTTAGCACTTCAGAAAATCTTTCTGAGACTGATCATCTTATTCCAGCCCTTCTCCTAAGTGAAACTCCCCAGGGACTGTCTCGCCTCGCACATTAAGCCACTGACTCCTCTCAGCCGTGTCTATCAGCTGTGCACATGTCTTACAGAAATATTCTCTCTGCTTTTTGATCCAGTCTTGCGGCTAATTAATAATCTGTGAGTTTAAACGACAATTAAAAACGAGCTCCAGAATTAATCCCTATTGTCCAAAATCTAACGGCAGCTAGATTTGAGCAGTGCCTTCGAGTGGAAACGCAAATAAAGACGTAGCAATAACGACGTGACTCTCATCTGCTACAGCAAATTCTGACTTAATTTCCTGACGTTCCATCCGCAGGGCTGGGCAACTGGGCAAGGAGCGAGCGCTGCCGTTGTCCCTGGCCGGGGTCGTGTGGCAGGAGCCCACCAGTGAGTTTGAAGTTCTAACCATTTCCGTGCAGGTGAGTTGGGTTTGTTTAGTGCTTGTTGTTTGTTCTTTCTGTGTGGGCAAATCCTGTGCTCTGGGACCTAAACCAGCTCGTTCTTTGAACTCTTCTCATAGACGTAAATACCTCAGGTAAGTGGCATGTTTCACTTTCCCAAATCCACTTTCCTTTGATGTATTTTGGGACTGTTCAGCCTGGAGAAGAGAAGGCTCCGGGGTGATCTTATTGCAGCCTTCCAGTGCCTAAAGGGGCTACAGGAAAGCTGGAGAGGGACTTTTTACAAGGGTGTGTAGCGACAGGACAAGGGGCAATGGATTTAAACTGACAGAGGGGAGATTGAGATTGGATATAAAGAAGAAATTTTTCCCTCTGAGGGTGGTGAGGCACTGGAACAGGTTGCCCAGGGAAGTTGTGGCTGCCCCATCCCTGGAAGTGTTCAAGGCCAGGTTGGATGAGGCTTTGGGCAACCTGGTGTAGTGGAGGGTGTCCCTGCCCATGGCAGGGGGGTTGGAACTGGATGATCTTTGAGATCCCTTCCAACCCAAACCGTTCCATGATTCTATAATTCCCTTTGCCTCGTGGCAGATGATAGCAGTACCATTGCTGCAGACTTGCTCTCTGCCATTCACTTGATTTTCCATGCTGCTGATTCCCGATGAGCACAGCTCCGGACACAACTGTAGCTCTCGGGCTGAGAAGCAAACCCGCGCAGTGTCTCGGGCAGAAATCCAAGCAGACCAGCACAGAAACCTGCAGCCCTCCAGTTCTGCTTTGTGCTTTCCCCACACCAGAAGAGGCTTTGTTTTTCCCCATTTTTGGTACTGACAGGTTCCCGCACCCCATGGCTTGTCTGGGAGAGGGTCGAAGCAGCAAATTACTCTGAATTGCATGTTTCTTTTAGATTTAAATGTGTTAGAACATAAACTTATGGTGGATTTAGTTATTTCTAGCGGTATCAGCTCATGATCTGTCATATCCTTTGGGTTTTTTGCGTACGTATTTCCTGCTCCCCTCACCCCTGCCTGGGTGGTTCTCTCCCAAATTAGCTGTTGGTCGGGGAGAGATGAGAGAGGCTGGAAGAGAGAAGCATGTTCTTTGTCTTCGTGGATTTGTGTTTGTGTGGGTAGTTTGGACACGTGTTGCTTCCTCTGCAAGGGGAAGCAGAGGCTGAGGGATGGAGGAAACCAGGTACAGATTTCCTGGGTTTGGCAACAGTGTGGGTGACTCAGAAAATGTCAAAAGTTGGCGCGAGCGGCGCTGAGTCAAAGCAGTTGTGTTTCCCCATCACGCCGGGCACTTCCCTCCTGTGCAGGGAAGCGGAATTATTTATATCCTGCAAAACAACTGGTTTTATCTTTTTCCCTGATCCAGTTACCACAGCGGAGGGTTTAGCGTGTTGTGGTTTCTCTTCCTTTCAACGTGACCTATCCCGATAGGTGCTGGGGAGGTCTGGTACCGTCGTGAAGTCAGCTTGGGGATGCTAAGGTTGAACGTGCGTTTGGTTTTTCTCACTGTGTGTTGACTTGAGAAACCTCTTTTTGCTGCTGTGGATCTGAATGAGTGACACCTGTGGCAGTCCAGATCTGGGATTAAGGCAGCTGGAGGGGCTGCTGCTGCTGGAATGCTCACCTGAAGCTGGTAGGCAGCAAGGCGGGGAGCCCTTCCTAATGGGAAGATTGGTCCAGTTGACTGTTCAGGCAAGTAAAAACAAAAAACTGTAGGGAATGAAGTTAAAGATCTAACATCGGGAGAACATGGCTTTTAGTCTTTTCTCTTTTGTAAAAGCTATTGGCTAAATACAGCATTAAAACTTATTTATCTAATGCTTTACAAAAAGGTTGGGGGGCCAAAAATCTGGGTAGAAGACTTCCCCCTTTCCATTTCCTCCGTCACGTTGCTAAGCCGTTAGAAATCAGGACATGATCAGGAACAATGACTTGGAATTTAAATGCTGTGTCATGCTGCTGCTGCTGTTTTGGTTTTCTACTCTTATGAGACAATAAAATAGGTTTTATTGCGACAGTCTAGCAGTTTAAGTTGGTATTTTGGGTAGTATTCAACGAGTCATATGCCAAATGGTTGGCGGATTTCCGTCTGACGTCAGTTACGAAATTCCTGTACCTTGCACAGGAGCTTTAGAAAAGAGGAACCTTAGGGGGCTTACACAGACACCACGCTGAACATACACCACTTAAAATATACTGGAAATCTGCTTGAGATACTGCTGTTAAGTAATATTTCCATTATCTTCTAGGGAAGTATATTGCCAGCAGACTAAAACTTCATGTGCCTGCACCAAAAATCTTATTTGCGAGGTAGGAATGCTGCCAGAAAATGGACCTCCAGCCTGGCAGTGCCCTGAGAAGGAAACAACTCAGGCACACACACAACACACAGGGCTCAGTATAGACACGTGCAAGTCCCCAAGTCTCCCTAATAGTGACAACTCTGCCCCAAAAAACGCCGATTGTAGGTCACCAGTATCATCCCTTAGCATCCTTAGAAGGAAAACAGCAAATCTGAGATATGGCAGTAAGAAAGAATGTTCAGGAAAATAAATACATGAAAAACTCTACAATGTTAATATTAAAAAAAAAAAAAAAAGTGTCCTGGAAAGCAGCCCGGGCTGAGGGAAGGGGAGGGAGGACTGTGGTGGTAATTCAGTTCCAGGCAACCCCACGGAGGTGACGGTTGTGTTTGGACACAGTCAGGGCAGTAGATGATGCGCTGCTGCGCCAGAAGCGTCGGCTTCACCCTGGTGGCAGTCGGACTCCTCCCGTGAAGCTGGACCTTGGTTATTTTGCCTTTTTGAAGTTGGTAATTTAGACCCTAACGATGGCGACGGCTGTAGAACGTGTCACACGCGAGCCAAACAGGAAGTGCAAGACAAGATTTTTAATCATGAAAAGTTTGTCGATAAGCTCTTATATACACATAGTTATACACAAAGTGGTTGGCGAGTCCCTCATCCTGTAGAATTCTGCTGGTGAGGTTGGTTGGCCGAAAGCTTCCCTCTGCCTCTGTCATCTCCCAGAGGGGATGTTCACGTGGGAAACGCCAGCTGGGTCGGCGACAGGCACCGTGGGCTTCAGCTGGGCACCGAAAGGAGCCCGTGTTCATCTGCTGTGTCCAGAATTTTACAGATGACCGGAGACTCCACCTTGAACAGAAGGGATCCAAAGATTAAAGGCTGTGAAACCACTGATAAACTTTTCTAAGAGGTATCAACAGTAACCATGCGATTACACAGATGGCAAGGGGCACGGTGCTCCAGCATCGCTCTGTAAAATTTAGCGAGCGCTTTTTACCTTCAGGGATGACCTCTGTGGCGCAGTAACGAGGTAACCACTGTAATTAGTGACAACTCTCCTTTCTCTAAGCCAGTGCCACTGAACAAAGCGCCCTGCTCGTTTAGCTGCTCCGTATCCGGGCTAACGTACACTACAGGAATCTTTTGTGAAGGGCCACGGGAAGGAAGGGGCTGCTTTAAATGTACACCTGGAGACGTCCTCTAGCAGGTGGCACCTGATCTGAGGGAATCCAAGCATGTCTTTACGTACCCCAAGGATGTATTGGCAAGAATGAGGCTCTAACATGTATATGGTCACGGCGTGAGGGGAATCGGACTCTTTACATCTGAAAACAGAAGAGAAATGTTGCAGTGTTGAGCATGCAACAAGCACAGAACTAACCCATCTCCTTCCCTAGTACCTATGGATTTCTCCTAAGCTAACAGTCCTTGTTTTCTGAGGACAGCAGAGGCTTTCCCTGCAGAGACACAAAACTAAAAAAGTTTACTAAAAAGTTCACTTACTTCAATTTCACAGTCACCTGCCTCGGCTTGTCTGTTAAGTCACAAACATCTCCATTTCCATAGAAATGAGACACCATCCTGCCAGAATGGAAAAGCTTGGAAACATTGAACACAATTCTTAAGCACATGGCTAACTTGTGTGATACAGTATCTCATAATTCTTCAAATATTTAATTAATCTACAAAACAAACAAGTCATGTTACTGCCGAAGGAAACAGTTGTTCACTCTTGGAAGACTTTTCTCTGCATCATATCCGAAGTGTTGAATTACATTTTCTGGTGCTGTGTGTGTATTGGCAGGCGGTAGGGAGGGGAAGAAATACACACGCCCTGCTCTCCTATCGCTCTGTAAACTGAGCATTCATGCACTACAGAAGCAAGCCCTGGCATTTATTCCGCTCTGTCCCCAGTATGAGAGCAGGAGCAGACAGCTGGAGCAGTGGTCCCAGTGGCTGGGGGCGGAAAACTGACTGTCTGCGTGCCGTCTTCTCTGAGATAGTAGGTTCTGGCAGCGTTCTTCCTGGCCCATTCCATGTGTTCCTCCTTGTTCCAGGTACCCACGACCACAGAAGTCTTGCCACTTTCCTTATCCTAAAAAAGGACAAGCTGATAATTACCTTGGATTTTAAGATCAGCAGAGAGGATGTTTGAATGACACGTAGAATGTCATTTCTAGAGCAAGGCTGCTGCTGTCAGCGTGATGTCTTCTTGCATTTGGGACAAACTGTGATTGATCTTGTGTTGCAGTCGAGTTGATGGTCTCTTCGGAACAGCCACAGAGGCTGTGTGAGCTGATCCAAGCATTTCAATGAGGAGAAGAGCATTCCCACAGGAAAACCCACATTTTTTCAGCTTTTGTTATCACCATGCTCTATCTGACACTGTACCTGCATCCCCCTGCATAAACTTAGGCAGCACATGGAGAATTTCTTTTCTGAAATCCACCTTCTTAAATTCAAGATGTTGATCAGCCAAAAAAAGGATGTTTCAGGTTTTTTTCCCCAAGCAGGGACAGTTCTCTAACCCTTTTTCCCCTCACACCCACAGCCACCTAGTGACAGAAGATAAAACCGTTCAAACGTACCTCATGATACTGATGAACGTATTTGCCGTAGCAGAACTCGTACTTCCACCAACCAACACCCTGGGGAGAGGTATCACCTCAGCGTTAAAACCTCCAAACCAACCCAAAATCCCCAAAACAACCACGTCCATTCCCCTCCAGACCCTAAACCACTGGCTATTTTAGCTGTAAAACTCCATGTCTGTTACTCAGACGTGTCGATTCGAGGTTTGCATTGAGAGAGAATCTCTTAGAGTAACAGCAAGGGAATTCCATCTATTCCCAGATGAGTGTAAGCAAAGAGCATCTAATTTTTTCATGTAGAATCTTGGAAGAGCCACATCAGGCTAAATTCCTTAAACTATTTGTATACCCCCTATTCGTCTTTTAAAGAAACATTTTCCTCTTTCAAAGATAGACAAAACTTCAGATGCATTTTCTCTGCTGGCTGTTCTCTCCATAAATTCTATCAGATTTTTTTTTTCTTCTCATTAACAAAATGAGCACTCACCTTCCCTGTATGAATGCAGGGAAAGGCAATTATTACGTGTGTGAGGATGCAACTAGCAGAGGTCACGGAAAAACTAAACACATACATCAACTCCTGAGTGCAATTAAGGAGTAGCTGTTTTATTACACATAGCTTTATTCTCACCCCATGGAAGCAGTAGGAACCACTAAGAAATTCCTTTATAAGCTGGTCATCGGTCAGTTTGGAGATGTGGGTTGTTCCCACAGTTAATAGTTGATGGCTTCCAACAGCAACAGGCTTGTGAATGGAAGAAAGTTTCTCTTCTTTTGTTGAATGCATTTCTTCCTGAAATTGAAGTACACACGAACAGATACACAAAAGTATACACCTGGTTAGATTTTGTGTGTCCCTTGCAAAGCCTTACAAACTAGATGGGGTTACTTGGTGCGAGGTGAAGTAGGCTGAGGGAAAATGTAGTGAAAACAAACTGTTTTCACTGTCTTCAGCATAGCTGAAAGAGATGGAAAGTCAAAAACTTAACACGTTTGTAAACTGCAGGTGAAGAAGGCTAGAAAAGTGTTAAATTAGTGGCCCAAACTTCCTTGCTTTGTTTTCCTTCCAAGTAAGGTAAGTTACAGATGGGTTCGACAAGCTCAAGGACTGTTTGAAAGACTGACGTGGTCTTACGAAGTTGGGTAAGAGAATTTATTCCATGGAACTGAAAGCTGTGTGCGTTACAGCAGGGAAAACAAGTATTTTTCTATTTAAAATTAAAGCAATCCTACCTCTTTAACCCTTCTAAAAGGCATCTTCATCATTTCTTGCTGTTTCTCCAGCTGTTCCAGATTATGGGGTTTAAGTGGGGATCCTGGCAAAGACTGGCAAAAGATGTCGTTCACAGGGGAAGCCCTGAACCTGCCCAAACAAGTCAGGAATACAGCACTTATTAGGCTCTGAGGTAAAAACATCCTTTTTTATTGCTCTGAGTTGCTGACTGAGCTGGGCTGAGGTGTGTGGCCTTTTTCCTTGCGCTTGCAGCACCTCAGCCAAAGGCTACACTGTTCTTACCACTGATGCAAACATGCTTTTGCCCAGCGTGGGCTCGCTCCTGACGCTGCCGGAGGACTGGCAGTGTCATCTAACTCCTCTGCTTCATAAGGAAAAAGTTGCAGATGGAAAGGCAAACCGCATGGCACGGGTGCCACACGTGCAGTGTGAAGGCTCTGCCAAAGCCCCTTGGGAGCTGGGAGACAGCAAAGGTTAAACTCCACAGAGGCAGGTCCTCTATAATTAAAATAATACGTTCTTATATTTCTGTGACACGTGTGGCTCTTCATGCTGCATCTACACCTTTATTCCTTTATCACCCTCTTCAGGAGGGTGCAAAACCAGCTTATTTCAGGAAGCAAAAAGATGAAGCAGGGTGTAACAGCTTTGTGCTTAGTTTCCACAAACAAAGGCCTCATTGAAACACCAAATAAGCCTGAACAGAAAACAGCAAAGGAAAGTGAAGAACAAAGTGTAAATCATAAAGCATTTGTTTAGTTTTCCTCGCTTGTCTCACTGAAAAAGGTGCTCGTTAGGGAAAGCTTATTTACAAAACATGCAGGTACTCCTTCAGAGGCAAGAGGGCTTTTTGGGATGTCCTCCTGGGAAGAGTCTGTAATAACCAGTAGCTGTATAATAATCACCACTTTGGTAAAAAGAATCTGAAAACATTTCCTAAATAGTAACTACGCTCTTAAGTAAGTCCTGTACCAAAGAAGCCTAGTTTGATCTTTATTTTATTTAAACATTAATAGTTACAGTAGACAAATGCTATTTTTCACTGCCTTCCTCCCTGTCCCCAGTTGCCAGCACTTTAAAAAAAGTCAAATTGCACCCAAATAAGAACAACAACTGGAACTAATGGGTATACTCTTGCTAAGTTAACCCAAGTGTGTCACTGGATAAGGTAATGGATGTAGAGGAGAGGCGCTGGTGGCTGAGGCACTGCTCAGTGCTGTTTCAGAGAACATAGAACAGGAAAAGCACACCTGAAAACTGAGCTTGGTTTGTTCCCACCTCTGCTGACGCCCAGCAGAGTTTCCAGCCTATCTCCAACTATCTTTATTTACTAAGATGACGTAAGTGGGAGAATAAAGCTCTTGTATGTTTATTTTAAGTATTTCCTGCTAGTGGCCAGGAAGCCTCCCACACCTTCCCTTTGGAAGGAGATAGCAGCTCCAGCTTTTGTTCTTACCAAAGGACTGAACAATTTGCCTGTGCGCCTTCTATTCTCCTGCTCATACAGAAGCTTAAAAGACTCATGTAGTAAACAGATAACAGTGCAGTAGGTAAGTGCAACAGATAACATAGTGCTACCAAACCCTACCACTCACTTGTTCCAATGTCTGTGCTCATGGGAAATTCAGAACTCCTGTCCATTATTTCCCCTTTCATTTGTGTGTCGTGCACTTTGCAATTCTGTTTACATCCCTCGAAAGGTCAAAAATCTGTACTATCGACACTAAGGATTTCCCTTAGATGCATGGTACAACTCAGGGAGAGGGGAAAAAGAAGAGAATTGTAAACTTGATTTTTGGAAAACAACACTGAAATTGTGAATTCTTCATAAGAAAATGATTTATACAGGCGAAGGTAAGGTTATAAAGCAGATGGGAGCTCTGTAAGTTGAGAGTACTGCTGACATAAATGTTAAGCAGGGTGTCCTTAATCTGCCCGCAGCCTCAGCGCCCCACTCCGTGCTCCTCTGGAAGGACAGGGCTAGCAACTTACCTGCTGAAAAGAAAATTCTACTTTCCACCTGCTACTCATACAGATCAATCAGGAGAGACTTAGGAAATGCAAATATTGTGCAATGTACCATGAAAACTCAACTAAAACTTTACAAAACTGCACTGGCCAAAGTGACCCACCAGTGTCTGTGACAGAAGCCACAGCTGGATATGTGCCTAACACACGCAAACCGATGGCCATCTGAAGTGGTAACGTTAGCCAAAACGTCAGCACCGTACCTGTACTTAGGATGGCTGCACAACAGGGGTGTCAGGATAACCACCTCATATTCACAGGTTGTAACTTCTGCTACTGAAAGAATCTCGTGTTTAGCTTCTGGGTGACAGATGTACATCACTGTACTCGACCGGGGTAGGTTCTGTCTCAAGCTGCAAGGTGTGCCGTTTCCCATTTCTACAGGATAGTATGGAGTCATCTGCCCTTCTATGTTTTTTGTAGGTATCTAGGTGAAAGAAAGCAAAAGTTAAGAATCACAGTAAAACTCCTTTGACTCTTCTGAAATGAAAAATATTATTACTCTATACAGAGCCAGCATTACTGGATTGAAACCAGCCCCTGTGTAGTTACTTGGTGTTTCTGCAACATTTGAACACGTTCTGGTTTATCACCTCCAGCACAGCGCTGCACAAACATGCCGAGCCACGCGAGGTCTGACTGCAGAACCCAGCCCTATCTGACTGCAAAAGCAGCTGGTTTCTCTGCGCAGGCTGCCTGCTATTTCGCTTCTCAGACAGCTTGCCAGCTGAGTGCAGTGTTTCAGAAGAGCACCGAGCCAGCTGTGTTCACCCTGGAGCCTAGGAGACAGGGAGATGTGAGCAGCTTGGTCAGACTCGCCTCAGGCCTGGCCAGGCACGGCACCTTCACTCCAATGCCACAAGGAATCTAAAAACGCCGCTGCAAAGTCATCCCAATCCCTGCCCCACACCTCTCGGAATACCCAGCCTGGGTCGTTCCTTACCCAGAGTATCCCACGCCACCTGTTACTGTGGCTAACAAAGTGAATGATGCATACAAAGTTAATTCCACTTTGCTTTAAGTAAGCTCTCTTCAGACTTGTTCCTTCATGTGTTTCATCCAACTTCCACTTTAAGAAATTAATTCCCTAAACTGGTAAAAGTCCTTCTCCTGGCTCCTATCTTGGAAGCAGCTAAAGATCTGGAATACCAAAAGTTCTGTTTGTGTAAAAGCTGTGCTGGAACCCACAAACTAGACCTTTTTCTGACTGCATTTCTTGAGCTAGTAAAGGTTTTGGTGCACACATCAGGCTCTGTGCTGAAAGGCAGTGGTGCCTTCTCTGTGCTCAGGATGCTGACCCGGGGACCTGGGACCTTTCTCTCTCTCTCCTGCCTTGGTTTTCAACCCATGACACCCTGTCACAGGCCACTGACACTCTCCTCCTGAAAACTGTTCCATCATGAAGAGAGCGATGAGACATTCACGAGGTTAAAGAAGGAACATGCCAGCAGCTTTGCTCGGGCGCTCCTCAGCTGCCAGTCACTTATCTGCTCTGTATTCAGCCAAAGGTAGGAAACGAAGATATATTCTGGTCGGGTACAAAAGGCCTGACAAAAAGGGTACTTACTAGTGCCTTCCCTTTCCATCTTTCTCAAGGAAACAGAAATTTTTCCTTAAAAATTGAAAAATTCTGCCTAGGCGTTTCATTGAAGGTAACTACTGAGGAAACATAAATGGAGATAGCTGCTGCTTGCACGCCACTGAGAGGCACCCAGCAGGATTTCGGATAAACCTCTAGTCACAGCAGGTTTGGGTTACCCTGAACACCAGCCGGCTGCCTTACGTGCTCTTTCCCTTTCATGGCCAGAGATTCCACACAAACTGCAAGTTTAAATCCTCTATGGACTGAAACCAAGACAGAGTATGTACATCATAAATACTGTACAAAAAAAAAGTCAGTAAAAGACTTAACTCCCTCTGAAATAAAAAAAAAAAAGTTACACTACAAAGAACCCGGCCTTCTTTAGTTTCCAAGAGGCATAACTGCCACTGGAACAGGCCGTGTTCTAACTCAGGTCTGCTCCCCCAGCTACCTCCAAAATGCTTATCAGGCACATGTGTTTGCTGAGACCCACTGCAGCAGAACCCCCACCCTGTGCTGTGCAAACCAGCATTACAAAGGACATGTAGACAAAAATGTGGACAAAAATGTCATTTCAGAGTCAGAACGAAGGATAACTGAAAATAAGGTAGGCGTGTGTCCGTCCACGGGTCACATCTGCCACTGCTAATTCCAACCTCCAACGTGCTTCAGGTACTTCCACTGTTTTGCTATAAAGTTAAGAACTCAATTCTGAGTTTTAGGGCCTCAGCAAATGGAAAAGTTCTCTAATGGAAAAGGGAAGCACAGAGATTTATGGGATGGGTGATCAAGTCAGCTAAGAAATCTTTTAGGGATTTCGTGCTGTAGGATTTTAGGAAGCATTTCTCCCTACCCAACATGCACGAAAGTGTCATTAAAGGAACTGGGATCCCTGATGTAGCTGGAAAAATAACTATCACTAGACCAAAACGTGACTTTGTGGTTATGTGTGTTGTTTTCATAGAAGAAGAGTAATTAATCCATCTCATTTGAGTTTAAGATCAGCGTAACTTTAACGCAGATAAGTAGGAGGGCAAGCAAGTTGCCCAGCTACAATCAGTAAGCTTGCTGAGCTGGGACTGATCATCAAAAGTGACAAGAGGGCAGCTCAGAAACAGAGTTTCATTTCTTGGTACTGATTTTGGTAGAGAACTAATTATATAATCTCGTCATAGATAAATTGCCTCCACTATTGACGGCAGAAGTTAAAATAGATGTTTTTCACTTGCCTCTTTTGCACTCTCTTTTGGATTTTCCTTCTCTTCTTGATCTAGGGAATAATTAAGAATGAGGTAAGCATAAAGCACGTGAACTCGAAATAAAATGAAATTATATACAGAGAAGTTTGTATATTTTGTGTATTTGCTAGTACTTTGTGTAAAAACCGCCAGGAGTCAATTTCATGAACTTGCAGGTGCAAAAGAGGAAAGAAAGGAAATAAACAAACAGCGACCTGGGCTCCAGAGCAAACAGAACAAGACACGAGTCAGCACAGCCTTAAACCAATTTTGAGCTCGCAGGCCAGGCCGAACCCAGCCCCAGCACCGCAGGAAGGCCAGTCAGGGCAGAAGAACACGTCGCTGCTGCTGTTCTTCGAGGGGCAGCTGGCTGCTTTTTAAAGGAGGGAGTGAATGACAGGCTGGGAGAGTACGGGGGCAAGTACTTCAGCCCACCCACTAGCCAGCCTCAGAGGGTGCACTTGTAGGAAGAAGGGAGGCCAGACTGAATGCCACAGTGAGAGTAATCGTGGTTACAGAGCAGGGTCACAAGCTGTCCCAGGTGAGAGCCTTCCAAACTGCTTCAGGAGACAGTCTGGACTCAACATCCTAAAAGACTCGGATACAATGACCTGAGGTATCACCACACATACCTCACAAAAGAATTGGTAACTCCAATTAAACATTTTATTTCCTGCATCTAGGGAGAATGAGGCATCTCTGCACGTGATCAACAACGGCACAAACAAGCACTGTGACTCAGTAAGAAAGAAACGCCAAACAATGCAGGTTCTGAAGCCATGGTTCTTTTTAGGACTGAGACACCTAACTGAAGGTCGCAGGTAGGAACCCAAAGGAATGGCATTAATAGCACTGAATCCCCTCCAAGTCTGAGGCATTCAGGTTAATCACTTTTAGGAAGAGAAAAAACAGTGGAGCCTGCCTTTTACATGCTAGCCTAGAATAAAAAAACACCCTAGATTATGTGGGGGTTTTTTTCTGTTGTTTCTATCAGCTCTGAGGAATGGACTCAGTCTGTGGATTTTTAGAGTTCTTTGGACTAATATACTGCCAAAGTGCTCACCCAGGGAAGCAGATATCGGCGGGAGCGACCACAAGAACGTCCAGCATCTACAATAATTTTTGGGCAAAAAATGTGAGTGCTCAGAAAATTAGTTATTCTAAACTGCAGTTTGAATGTGGGGCTCAGCTACCTCATTTCCACCACAGTCCCGCTTCAGGTGCTTCAGTATTTCTGAAGGTCTGTGCCAGAATCCCTAAAAAAGAGACTCTCAAACAGTTCCAAGGATCAAATCTACCTGCAAAAGCTGCAAGTGTTTGGGTTTGCAGACTGTGTTTTATCATAGAATGGCAGAGCCCAAGATGTGCCACACGCTCTGCCCTCTGCTCACAGCTTGAAATGGCAACAGGCTACATTATCGAAGTCTGGTCTGGCACATACTGGTTCTGTTTCTTACACTACGTATTTTCTTTCCCTGACACTAATTAATTATGGCAGATTAGTTAATCTAATTATTTAGATGGCATGGCAAAACTGAGAGGACAGATGCAATGAAAGGAGATGAAAAGGAATTGAAAACAGTATGTTTTGTTATAAAAAAAAAGGAATAATCTACAAAATCCTGTTCTATTGCACTGGGAATCAGTTTTCTATAGCATATTTCTCAGACAGTAATAATTAAAACCCAAACAGTTAATTAGCAATGGCAAAATAAAATAATCTAAGACAAACCTGGTTCTGATAATGGGTTCTTCATCATCATATTCCCCAGATAGTATTCTTGGATGTTTATTTTCTATAATCAAAAGAAGTTAAAAGAAATTTCAGCTACCATTTTCCATACTTTTTCAAGTGTACAGGGATTCAAGTCCTCTGGTGGAGTTAATAACACATCAACATGTCACTGGAAGAAGGGGCTGAGACCAGTAAGTTGTAAGAAGCCCACCTGTCCCGTTTCCTTCTCCTCGTGATATTGACGGATGTGTTTTCCGTGGCAGACCTCGTAAGTCCAGTAAGATTCAATCTTAAAAAAAAAAAAATAAAGACTCTGTTTAGATACATCACCCTTCCAAAAAAGAAAATCCCCCCCCCGAATTTTGGCTTTTGCAGCAGTGAAACGCAGCCCAAGCAGGTGGGCTTGGGCACCCTCCAAAACTACAGCACTGTGAATGGTCTCAGCGTTCCCCACACATTTTGATGAGGTTCCAAATAAACACAACAGGCAAAGTTTCCTTAAATTTGACACGGATAAAACAAAGGGAAAATATTTACATAAGATATAAAGACTAAGTCTGCCCCCAAGCCCCTGGGGCTAAGCTGCAGCGACTCAGCACAGGCTGGTTTTGGCCACTGCTGTAGATACAGGCTGTTTACCAGCTGTGCTTGACCCACTCTTCCTCCCTCCAGGACTCGTGTGGGATGTCACGGAGGGGTAAGATTTGCCCACTTTCATTCCCTCTGGTTCTCAGCACCAGCTTGCTTGGTGTCAGGCTTGTAATGCAAGACATGAGATAACAGTTGATGAAAAATTGGAAAACTTTCAGAATCTCAAGAAGCACGTTCGTTTTGGTCTTCTCACGCTTTCTGAGAAATGCTGTTCATTAGATTGTCACAAATCACGGCTTGGTTCAAGCCCACACTTTTAAATTGCTACTAGAGCAACCCAAATTATTTGAATCCTGAGATCTAAACCTTGAAATGGACTGGACTGTACACGTTCAATCAGCACTTAAATTATCAACACAGAAGTAACATACTCTATAGGAACAGCTACTTTGCTTAAAAAGAGGTTCCAGCAGTTCTCCTGGAGTAGGACCTTTGTAGTCCTTTTCTTCTTCCTAGAAGAGAAGGATATTTCATTACATTAAAAGAAAAACTAGTTTGGTTAGTTAATATTCATTTGCACTAGTAAAAAAAAAAAAAAATCTTACTGAAAATTAAAAGACACAAACCTCGTTAATTCCTGCTCTGAAGGGGCAAATAAAAGTCACAAATAAAGCAGTCAAAACAGAAAAGTCTTCACCTTCTCGTGTACAAACACATGCATTTATATCCTTTTTTAATTTCAACCCCACGTTGCGCATTCGGATTTTCAACTGAGGGACACGTAACAGAGGATAAAGCTTATACTACTAGTGGCAGAAGCACCACCAGGATGGTATTTCCAGACACAGCAGAGTTATCAACCTTCATAGTTGTTTACCGGCCTGGAATTTGACAATATTACTTAAAATGCAAGAATTTCCCAAGCAACGAGAGACCTAGCAATAAACAGAACACCAGAGCAACTGTTTGCTAAACCAGGACTTCAGGGTTGTGCAGAGCTAGAGTGTAACACAGAGTGAAGGCACCTACTACGCGTTCTACACGTGATTTTCCTTTTCTGGGAGAAAAAAAAAATGAAATAAAAAGTAACGGAAAAGATCCTGGGAAGACTTGCCTACAGTTTGCAGCTACAAACGCGGCGTGGCTGGGCTCACCTCACTGCCACTGGCTATCAGCGGAAGCATACATTTGTATTTTTCCTTGTCCGCAGTGGTCATGATGATGTAGTTGTCCTCCTTGTACAGGACGCCGGCTGTAGGCTGAGAAAACAGGGAATTCACGGATTAATCAGGCGTTTCCTTCAATGCTGCTTGTTAGAAATATGCCCGAATTCGGGAGCGATGCAGTTAATCCATAGGGCAGGGGTCCAGAGCGCACCCTGGATCTTAATTACATCGCAAGACCTTTCACACTGAAGTGGTTTATAGTGTTTGTTGGCCCTCTCCTTCCGTTTGATCCCTCTGCTTCCAGCCACATTCCCACACTCACCTCACACATTCCTAATTCTTACAAAAGACCCTTACTACAGGAAACACCTCCCCAGCCGTCACGTTTTGCAACCAGCCATTCCCACACCAGCTTCCAGGACAGATTTCCCAGGATCTTCCCAGCTGCCAGGCTCCAGCCATTCCCACATTGGCTTCTAGGACAGATTTCCCAGGATCTC